CATTCCCTTAAATCACAAATGAACATTATTGAGCAGACAGCCGCAGGCAGTTTGCTGGAGCATGCAGCTGGCAGCAGGCTGGCACAGAATTCATTGCTGAGTCCCCTTCTGAGGTGTGGGTGTGAGTTGTGCTTCCTTGGCTGTCCACAGCCAGACTTTCTGAGCAGCAATCCTGTGGCATGGCTGCCCTGTGTCTTAAGGCAGGGCAAAGTGCCTTTGAGCAACTTGCATTAGAAACAAAAGGAAGTTGTATCCTTCAGCAGTAGGAGGAAATAGAGCCTTCCCATCCACTGAGACAGCGCATCTGTCTGTTGTTACTTTGGCCAAACGATTTATCTCAAGACCAGAGAAAAATGACATTTGCCATCTGTCTGGGCTCTGGCACAGTCCTGCCATGCACAACTCTGTGTCTTGAGCACATCGTGGGGCATTGCTCAGGGTGATCCTGGGGAGCTGGGTGGAAGAGAGAGCTGTCATGCGCTAACCCTGCATGAAATGCTCCTATGGCTTATTAAAGAAGCTGGCATAAAGCTGCAACACTTGAAATCTTAAAAGAAAAACAGCTTTCAAGATATAAAAGTAGAACTAATATTTGATAACATAAAATCCTGGAGACGTTCCTGCATAGAGATTGATGCAGCTATCACAAAATCCAAATTGGGAAAAGGCTGTTTGATGATATGTTTCCCCAGACAGCACCTGTTTCATTTTCTAAAACAGCAAAGAAATGACATACGTAGATTGATGTTACTTCTGTTTACCTTACTGAGACACCTTGTGCTCTGAGGCACCGGCGGCAGAGGAATGCGGGGTCAGAGCTTGAGCTGGCACCTCTCAGGAAGGTTTGTTTGAAAGGAGCTGAGAGATGCTGGGCTTTGAGCAAGCTGGCCTAGTGGAAGGTGTCCCTGCCTCTGGTATGGGGGTTGGAACTAAATGATCTTAAAGGTGCCCTCCAACCCAAACCATTCTACTATGGCATTCAGCATTGCTGTTTGAGGAAATACAGACTGGAATAGGCTCCTCAGGGAGGTGGCTGAGTCACCATTCCTGAATGTGTTTAAAATCTGCTTGGATGTGGTGCTCTGGGACATGATTTATTGGTGGGTTGTTAGAGTTAGGGTAGTATGATTTGGTTGCAGTTGTACTTAATGATCTCTAAGGTCTTTTCTAACCTGAGCAATTCTATGATTCTCTGCTGCTGTTGGAGATGATTAATCTTGGATATGTGGTGGCTTACAGCACTTAAAGCCTCTCTCCTTCCGTAAGCCTAGGTGTGCTAGAGCACCTCTGCAGCACGTGCTGATAAGTAGGGAAAGTTAAGCTGAGAGATAAGTGTAGATAAGCTTTTTTGGTGGTGCTTTTTTGAAGAAGCACACAAAGATGAGAGCTGACCTCTGTACCACTGCCAGAGACTTATTTTATACCTGTGCAAACTCTTCTGTTTGGTATGTGTGATGCTATCACAAAAACAAAGCTGTGTGAGAGCAGTGCTGCGCTTTGCTGTAACTGGAGAGACAGTTTTGCTCCAAGGACAGTTCTCTTCTGGGGCTGTTTCTTTCTTTCTCAGGTTGGATATTACGAAACATTTATTCTCTGAAAGTACAGTAATGCACAGGCTGCCCGAGAAGGTGGGGGGATCTGTATCCCTGAAGGTGTTCAGAGCTGTGGAGATGTGGCACTGAGGGATGTGGGCAGGTGGGGTTACCTGAGATGATGCTGATTTGTCCCATGGGCCACAGCCTCCTTACAGGAAGGTATAAGGAGCTCTCCCCTTGTTGCCATGGTCTTCTGCTGCAGCTCCTAGTGCTGCAGCTGAGTTATTCCAGAGGTTCAGCAAAGCAGATGGGCAGCTTGCTGCGACCCTGCCCTCAGCTGGGGGGGCAGGAAAGCAGGGGGTGAAAGGTCAGCAAAGAGCAGCAGATCTGCACTGAAGGCATTTTGTGAGGGTCTGAAGATGTGGCTGGCATCGGCCCGAGGACAGCGTGACATAATCTAATTATACCATGTCCTCCTGTGCCTCTGACCTGGCATGCACCAGCCCTTGCTGAAAGATTTATGGTTTTATTCCTTTCCTGAAGTCGGGGGAAGCTGAAGTCAGCTTGGGAATTTAATTACAGTTTGTGAGCATTTGATGTCAGTGCGAGCTGATTAAATCCTGGGCCATTAACACACTTCTTTGTGGGGCTGAGGAATGCCATCACCTGGGTTTGTTTGTTTGACCACATCTCATCTTGGGGGCTGAAACTAATTTGGGTTTTCTTCAACAGTGACTTGGAAACAGCTTTATTCTGGTAACAGTGGACTGGATTCCCTGCTACACCACTTACTGCTCTGCTTTAGCTTCAAGGGCCAATTTGCTTTGGTGGAGTGCCACAGGGCTGTTGTGCAACTGGTTGGAAAGCAGCTCTTTAAAATTAAATATAGGGATAAAGCTGAATTTTGGGGCACACAGCACAGGGTAGCTCTCACCCTTGCTGGAAGGTTTCCTCCCAAGGCACCATTTGAATGCATGTCGTGGTGATGCATCGCAAAATGAAATTGCTTCTGATGGGAGCCTTCAGTCATTCACCTTGGGTTTCAGTTCAACTGAGTGAAGGGTAAATGCAAACACATCTGTGCAGAGCTCTTCCGTTGCATCGAGAGGCTGGAGTGGAGTGATTCAGCCCCAACAAATGGTGCTGAGCAGGTTCAGAGCAACAGCAGAAAGCTGTCAGATTAGCACTAATGTATGTAGGGAACAGCTAAACCAGACCTGTGAGGCTCAGCAAAATCAACTGCATAACCCTGCACTGAATCTGTGGCTGCTAAAATGGAAAAGGGAGACTTTTCTGCCTGTCTTGGTGGCGGCCATGGGTGCTGGTGTCCCACTAACTGTGTGCCTTCCTCTCGTGCAGTGACGATGCAGCAGGTGGCCAGGACAGTGGCGAAGGTGGAGCTGTCAGACCACGTGTGTGATGTGGTGTTTGCGCTCTTCGACTGCGACGGTGAGCAACTGAGTGTCCTGTGACCACTGCTGGCTGCAGCCAGCATGGGTGAGAGCTAAGCCAGGGCTAGAAGTGCAGGGAGAAGGCTCCCACCATGGGAACTGCCCAGTTTTGCTCAGAGTTTTTCAGTGCTGGCAGATGTCCATTTTGTGCTGAGCTTTGCTGTGTGGCCATAGGTCTGTAGCTGCCTTTCTGGGAAGGGTTTCCAGTTGTGCACAGCTCCTAGTGCATTGATCTTAAAGCATCACATGTGGAAGAAGTGTTGGATGCAGGCTGGCTGCAGTAGGAAGCAGCTTATCTCTTTCTCAGCAGATTGATGTGTTCAAGAAAATGAGTGTTTGTGTTGTAGTGCTGGAAATCAGCCAATCTGGTATTTTGTAGCTCCAAAGTCCTCTATAAATGCCAGCCTAACTAATTAATGTCAGCTCTGTGCCTTGCAGTAAACTTGGTGCTGCACCCACATGCAGGCTGCAAATGCTTTGGGGTAGCAAATACCTCAGTGCTCCATCTTGGGCTGAGGTAATGGGAATCAGTGGAATTGTTGATCTTGTGCTGAGATAGAGATACTTCAGACAGTACCTCCTGCATTGGACGTACTCTTTGAGGCCTTTGGGTGGTAACAGCTTGTTGTGCAGTGGGGCTGCAGACACCACTGCAGAGAAACACAAAGCAATCTGGCAGGATCTTCCCCAAAAAACACTGCTTGTAGGCCATGGTTTGGTTGCCATTGCTTCATTGGCATTTGGCATTTTACACCCACGGATGGGCATAGCAAGCTTCAGAGCAACCTTTGAAATGTGTTGATGAAGGCAAGAGGAATATGCTTTTGGGCTGGGAGAAGCAAAACTCTGCAAAATTACAGTATCCAAACCAGAGCCCCTCCTGGTGCCCTGGTGCTGTGGCCCTCCTGCTCCAATGCAGTGGCGGCAAGTACTGCCGCTCCCTCATTTAAACAGGGACACAGAGAAGTGCCATCCCTTGCTCTGCCTCTTGGCTGCAGTTCCTCTGGGTTTCAGCTCCACCTGCTGGAGTGCTGCATTTGTTTTATTTTCCTCTGTGCTTCAGTGTCATTTCCCATCACATCCTCAAAGCAGACACTCAGACTGCAGTGAACCAAAGGGTACCCGAATGTTCTCCATTGGCATTCTCTTGTAGGAGGATCTGCTAAATAGTCAGATAGCAAAGCTCTGGGGGGAAGAACTGTTGGTGGCCACTCGCTCTCTGTGAGGGAGACACGAGTGGAAATGCAGCACTGAACTCTTTGTGGTTTATAACTGCATTGGTGTTTGTTGGCATTACTGCGGGCACCAGGGAAACTGCCGCTCCCTCCTCAATACTTTGACAAGAGTTCCCTTGCCCGGATTTGTAGCTAGATGCGATGCAGAAAAAAGCACTTTGAGTTGAAGAAAGCGGCTTGTTGAATACACCTTCCCTCGGGCCTGGGCTGAGTGCTCCTGGGTGCTGGTGGTGGCTCCGCGTGTTCCTAACGCCTTCCTCTCCTTGCAGGGAATGGCGAGCTGAGCAACAAGGAGTTTGTGGCCATCATGAAGCAGCGGCTGATGCGGGGCCTGGAGAAGCCCAAGGACATGGGCTTCACACGTCTGATGCGCGCTATGTGGAAGTGCGCCCAGGAGACGGCCTGGGACTTCACCCTGCCCCGGCCCTAAGGGGACACCTGCGCAGGAGGGCCGAACCAGCCACGCCCTACTGCCGCCTGCCTCGTGCACCTCCCTCTTCTTCTCTTGTAGGAAAGGGGACGTTTGTGCTGCCCTCACCCGCAGGGCGGGGTTGACGCGCTGTACCCGCTCACTTCTAGTTGCCATTACAAACCGCACGGCTTCTATCTCGTGTCTTGACGCTGCTCCGCCAGGCCTGGAGGGCACCGAGCCCGCCGGGGACGCTCCGGGGCGGCGCGCGCCCGCCCTCGCGGCAGTACGGCGGGGGGCGGGGGCCACGTGGGGGCGCGGCCGCGACGTCATCATCCCGCGCGCGGCACCGCCCCCGCCCCAGCCGGCCGCCGCCGCCGCCATGGAGTCGAACAGGGACGAGGCGGAGCGGTGTATCGGCATCGCGCTGGCCGCCATCAAGGCCAACCAGCCCGAACGAGCCCGCCGCTTCCTAGAGAAGGCGCAGCGCCTCTACCCCTCGCCGCGGGTCCGCGGTGAGCGGCGGCAGGCGCGGGGCGGGGCGAGAGGGGGGAGGGGAGGTCGGGGCCGGCGGCGCGGCCCGAGCGCTGCCACAGCAGCTTCGGCGGGCCGCGCCTGCACCGTGCGGGGCGGCGCGCGGGGCGTGCTGGGAAGGCGAGTCCTCCGGGGGAGGAACAGTGGGGAGCGGGACGGGGGGAAGGGCGGCAGCCTTCCTATGGGAGTACGGCACGCGGGATCGGGTAGCGCGGATGCGAGGGTGCCGGCCTGCCGAGCGGCCGAAAAATAGCTACAAGTACGTCGGGGAGGCGCAGGTGGCCGCCGGGTAGGGACGCGTGCGCCGCGAGGTGGGTCGCAGCGCGGAGGCGACCGGCTCGCTGCACCGGGCCGTGTCCGGGCGTTGCGAGAGGAGGCCGAACCCTCTGCTGTCTGATCCCGCCTCGGGAAAGGAGAGCGAGCCTGGAAGCTTTCCGCTGTTACGGAGAGATCTTGGCCCGGGAATCGGGAAAAAGTGCCCCGCCAGCGGGCGGCGGGCGCGGCACGCAGCTGCTGGAGTTCAAGGAGCGGCTGGACGACGCGCTCGGATGTAGGGTCTGAGTTCTGGGCGCTCCTGTGCGGAGCTGGGGGTTGGACTCCGTGCTCCTTATGGGCCCCTTCCAACTCGGGGTGTCCTGCGATCCGATGGGAGAAGGCAAGCGGAGGAGGGTACGTTGCTGCAGAGATTCTCCCACGCTCCCAGACCTGCGGTATTGAGGGGGTAGCTGAGAGCTGGGTTAAAGAGGGATGGCTCTAGGGAAGCGGGAAGGGCAGAGTGAGCTCGGTGTTCTCTGACCTTGTTTTGCTTTCCCCTTTTCTCCTTTCAGTTCTCCTCGAGTCGCTCAACAAGAACGAGTCTTCATCCACCGGGCAGTCCCAGGCCCGGGAGTCCCCAAACGCCCAGTTCAGGAAGGCGGCCGGGGACTTCTCTTCAGCCAATGGGGAGGCCGGCGGGGAGGCCCCCAAGGGCTACACGCAGGACCAGCTGGATGCTGTGAAGAGGTGTGTGTGCTGCTTACACCCAGTGTTTATTATGTGATATCTGTCTGTTTCTCACCGTGTTTTTAAGATGTAGGGGAAGAGCGTGAAACGGGAGTGTACGCAGAATAGGTCAGAGTTGGACAACTGTTTATATTCAGTGCTACGTGGGAGATTTGGTCAGCTCTGATCCACGTGGAGTGGTCTTTTTTCAGTGAGGTGTTAAAAGGGAACCTAGGTGGCCCTGCAAGGCAGCTGCCACGGATGAGACTTTCCCCTCACGGCACATACAGAGGCTAGAGCTGCAGGCAGGCAGGCGATTTCCTGGTGAGGGACAAAGGGCATTTTGAGTACATTCATTCTATGGACTTCATATGAATGTTTCCTTTAGGTGCTGTTCAGTGGTTCTGTGTAAAATCCCATATAGTGCTGAGATGTGTTGGGGGAAGCCATGGCTCACAGCTTGCAGCGGGAAGCCCTTATGTTCTGAGCCTTGCCCTGTAGCAAGTGCCAGGGGGTGTGGGTGTCCCTCTCACCTGCAGACAGTCCCTCTAAGAGCTCAACAAAGTAGAAATCTACAGCAGGTTACTTCACTCTGTTTGGATGATGTATTTCTAAGGCTCTTATTGGATAGTCCCAAGGCACGTTTATCTAGTCACCCCTTTTTCAAATGCTTTTTCAGCTGTTCATTATTCCTTTGTACCACTTGTAAATGCTGGAAGTTGAAGGACTGAACCGTGTGCGCAGTCACTTGGTAAACTTTGCGTAAGCCTTTGGGTAATGCTCTGGGTTGCGCAAGAGCTGCTCTGGCTAATTGATTTCCGAGTCTGTTTGCTATGTCACCTGATTCTCCAGAAAGCCAGCTCGCTTTATTCTGTCTTGTATAAGTCATGTAAGAAAGAGAAACTGTGACGGAGCTGTGAGGAGTATGCAGCAGGAGCTGGGCTGCACACAGGCCTGGGCAGCTCCTCCCGCTCCTTCTCCTGTTAAGTCTGAACCAGTGGGGCCTGAGGGAGATTGTTAAAACCAAGCCAAAAGCCCAGATGTCCCCCAGCCTGCCACGTGTAATCCCCACACCTCCTGAACAGCCTTTAAAACGTGAGTGTGATGAATCTGAAGCTTATTTGTGAATCGCGTGCTTGTGCAGGTGATATCATAGTCTGTGGAGAGGCCCTCCTACCTTTACAGGAATGGCTTGTTCTGTGGGAGTGTTTGTGTGCTCGTAAAGCAGGTCTTCTGTGGATGAGCGTGCAAAAAAAATTAGGTCACCCTCTGAGGAATTAGAACTGAGTAAACTGGAGTTTGCTGAACAACATTAGTTGAAACTGCGATACGTGAGACACTGCAGAGTTGATGTGTTTGTGGCAAAACAGTTTTTGTAGCTGGAATTCACTGCCCTGTTTTCTCATTTATCTTCTGGTAGGGTAAAGCAATGTAAGGATTACTACGAAATTCTGGGAGTCAATAGAGAAGCCTCTGATGAGGACTTGAAAAAGGCTTACAGGAAACTCGCACTGAAATTTCACCCAGATAAGAACCACGCACCTGGGGCTACAGAGGCATTTAAAGGTAAAGTATATTTCCCCCTTGATGATTTAGAGTCATAGAATCGTTAGAGTCAGAAGGGACCTTTAAAGGCCATCTAGTCTATTGGTATCTCAGTGCACAGGGGCACCACAGCTAGATCAGGTTGCCCAGGGCCTGATCCAGCCTCGCCTTGAAAGTCTCCAGGGGCGAGGCATCCGCCACATCTCTGGGCAGCCTGTGCCAGTGCCTCAGTGCCCTCACTGTAAGACTTTTACCTTATATTTAACCTAAACCTACCTTATTTGAGCTTGAAGCCATTTCCCCTTGTTCTGTCACCAAAGACCCTGCTAAAGAGGCTGTCCCCTTCTTTCCTGTAGCTCCCCTTTAGATTCTGACAGGTCACTATCAGGTCACCTCGCAGCCTTCTCTTCTCCAGGCAGCCCAGCCCTAGCTCTGTCAGCCTGTCTCTGAAAGTTTTCCTGCAGCTGTCAGGTGATGGTGCTGAGCTTGGCTAGAAAGATCCCTCAAAACAACCTCACAGGCCTGGCAGAGCAAATTAAATTTTTGTCAGTAAAGTTGTCTCTCTTGTGAGATGGTGACATTACGAACAAAGTATGTGCTAAGCTTAAAGTATCAAGTATAGGTTGATGTGTTTAAACTTTGCTTCTACTGGTTGGACAAGGAGGAGCTTTCCTTGTTTCCAAGCAGCTATTCCTGTCTTCTACTACATGGTCTTCTGCCACATGGCTTGGGAGGGAATTCCCTCCAGATCTCACCTCCATCCTCCCCTGAATGGGAGCTCTCAGCTCACAGGGAGAGGCTCCAAGTCCTGCAGCCACCTAGCAAAGGGCAGGTGCTGGTGTGCACCCCTTCCCAGTGACAGCCAAAGCAGAGATGCAGTGAGCTGTGCAGCCCCACATGCAGTTATTGAGTTTGCAGCCCTTCTAGGCTCCTCCAATCACGGAGCATTTCAGGCAACTCAGTCTTGCCAGTTTCGCATGAGCACTCGACACCTGACTGTTGTGAAAGGCTGTGGGTGGAATTGCAGGATACCAACACTAGGTGAAAATTTCTTGGGTGAAACTGCACCAGCTATGCAGCCAAGGCCAGGCAGAACTCAAGGAAGTCACCAGTACCTTCAGTTCTGTTGAGAATAACCTCAGCACCTCTCTGGCAGGGATGGTTGCAGGGTAATAACGCACCTTAAAACTGGAGTCATTTTCCCAGATAAATGGTTTTGTTTAAAATGGAACATATGAAATAAGGCTTAAAGCATTATATGTCCATCTGGGAGCTGTTCTGAGTTTGTAGGGAAAGTAGTGGCTAGATTATCTCCAACATCTGTGAACTTTTTTCTTTGTGTTATTTTTCATCTTATTTCTGTATTATACATCAAATTCTTAGCAGGAGCTGCTTGGAGGTACACTTAGCTGAGCTTTTGCCCTCTGATAGTGCATGCTCAAATTCTACCTATGGGGCAGGTAGAAGTATATAGTATTTCGCTATAATAAATGCTGTAGAGTTGCCCAAGAACTTCATTCAACCATGGGAAGGAAAATACAGGAGCAGCAGGCTGGTGATCATGCCCCCGAGCTGGCTCTGGAATTGCTCCACTCAGAAGCAAAAGAGGGTTTTTCTGACTGTGTCCCTGGAAACAGCCCTGCAGGCAGTTAGCTGGACACCTGTACGTATGGGGTAGGTTTTTATCTTCAGTGCTACCTGGGGAGGAAGCACAGCAGTGGCATCCTGCCTGTGGGGTTTTGAGCTGTGGTGATGGATGTGTTGAGAACTGCTGGAGCAGCATGCAGAGGTGCCATCTGGAAGAAACCCTTTTTCTTCAGAGGCTTGGGGGTTTGATTGTTAAAGAGCTAAACACACAACCTCCTGTGACAGTTTTACAGCGTTGGTTTTGCTGTGTGAGGCTATTTAAATACTGTGTTCTGATGATGCTTTTCAGTCCTGAAATGGCAGTAGAACTTCTGTTGGCGCAGGAAGCAAGGCTAGCCTGCTCTCAGTGTGTTGGCACAGCACTGGGGTAAAGAAGAATTCAGCAGTAAAAGTCTCACGTAAGGTTTGTTTCAAGGATTTTAAGACAGATCCACAACTGCTAAGTGTCTTGCTGTTAGCAAATGAGGAGCTGACCCTCAGCTGCTTGGGAAAGCCTGTTTTAGTGCAGGGGCCAAATGAAATAGCAAGCACCTGCAGACGTGTAGCTACACCGTGTGTGTGGTAAGCCCCTGCTCAATAGTTTGTCCTTCACCTTGCTAAGTGGCGAAAGGCAGGTTTCTTCACCTGTAATCTTACATAGTGATGTTTGCCGAAGGCTTTGACAAGAGGTACGTGCCAGAAGTCGTGTGTTAAGCAAGGTGCCCTTTATCTTTCCCTGCAGAGCTATCTGCTGCCAGGTTATCTCTCCCCTGAGCCTTGTCTCCTGGGCTCCCCTGTCCTTCAGCCCCAAGGTGGGCTCCTGGTTCACAGCGCTTGCTGAAGTCTGGCTGGCTGTTTGGTTCCAGAGGGTGCTGGGGGAAACGTGCGCTGCTCTAAGGGTTTTAGTTAATTTTTTCTAGCATTGGTATATTAGCTGAAGGCTTGTCGTTCATCTTCCCAGTGACAGCTGATAAAGTGCTACGTCTTGTCCAGAGACCTTGTCTCGGTCCAGGGTTGCAGCTGGTTGCAGCCTGTGTGGTACCAGATTTGCATTGCTGCCTTGGGCTGACGTCAGGAAAAGAGCTGAACGTCGCTATGTGGGGCTGAAATCCTGGCTTGGAATGAGATGGTCCTTGGGCTTTGTCAGCAGAAGGCTAAACAATGAACAGAATCCTGAATTGCTCCATGTTCATTGCTTAACCGTGCAGTTGGAAAGGACAAGCTCCTGTGCTGGAGTGAGTCAGTCCTTGCTGCCTCACTTCTGTTCCTGGTTGAAGAAACGTTCATTCTAATTATAACCAAGAATTAGAACAAGTATTAACACCCTCTGCTCTCCAAACCTGTAGTCTAAGAAAAAACCGTACCCTTCGGTCTGACTATCAGGAAAATTTTGAATCTTCATCTCCTCTGAAGGGCACGTGTCTCCCTTCTCTTCTATCACTTCTGCTCCTGCCTTTAACTCACCCGTCAGCTCCAGTACGACGAACTTCTTAACCTCTTTGCAACACAGGAGGAGAAGATCCTCTCTGTGGTCACGTACAGAGGCTCCTGGGTAGGCTGGTGCGGAGGGAAGTGGTGAGCTGGCATGGCTAGGGAGGGGAGCCCAGAAAGAGGAGGGTGGCAGGAGGCTGTTGTGGTGGGAAGGCTCGCGTGTGCTGAGGCTGGGAAACTGCGGGGGGATGTCATTCCAGTACATTTCCACTGTCACAGGCACTGCTCAACAGCCCTTGTAATTATGCGCCTTAGTTTTGGCACCTGGACATTTTGAAATCCACGGCTCAGCAACAGAGCTTTTAGCCAGCATCTCCTTACTGGCTTTTACTGGAGGTTTTAAAGTCTCTTGGCGATCTCACCTGTACTTAAATTCTTTGCAGTTCTGATATTAGGCTGTGATACCAGTGATGCCCTTATGCCACCTTCAAATAAAATGTATTAACTAAAGTCATACTTTCCTGTGTGGATACTTTTGGATGAAGACTATCAGTTGTTCAAAGAAATAACAACTGTAATCAAATGAAACTTGTATCAGCTCTGTTACCAGTATTTCTGACCAGTGCATAGTTTCATGCCTGTTTCCCTAAGGACACATGTGGAATTCATGCCAATCCTATCATAGTTTCTCATTTGGATTAATGAAGGCCATGGGCACTGAGTCTCCCCATGTGTTTTTCCCTCCTGTGTTTGCAGAGAAGCGTTCTGGGTGCTGCAGGAGCCTGCTGGGGGCCGGGAGCTGCTGAGGATCCCGTCTGGGGGCTGAGGCAGGCGAGTCCTTTTGCAGGGCTCAGCGTATCATTGCTAGGAGGAAGAAACTAATTGCTTCCTTATTGTTGATGTTTCAGCCATCGGTAACGCATATGCGGTCTTGAGCAACCCAGAGAAGAGGAAGCAATATGACCAGTTTGGAGACGAGAAGCTCAACCCTGCTCGGCACGGTCACACGCACTCGGACTTCCACCGCGGCTTTGAGGCAGACATCTCCCCCGAGGACCTCTTCAACATGTTCTTTGGTGGTGGTTTTCCCTCGAGTAAGCACGTCAAACTTTAACCTCTTGAACAGGACCCGACCCTTTTACCAGAGTCACAATGCAGCAGGATTTATTTGGCAGTGTCGGGATTGATTTGAGAGCTTTGTTCCTCTCTGCAGCGGGATTTGATGGGAGTTTTCTTTCAGAAATTCCCCAAACACATTGAGTTTCTAAATTGATCAGATAGGTACTTGGAGAACTTGGGCTTCCTTCCGACTTCACGTATCTGCGTGCTCGCAGTGTTAACTGTTTTTAGGCTGGATTGGATGTTAGAACAAAAATCATGAACAAAAATGCCACGCTTTAATGCAAAGCGTGAAAATAATCCTGTCCTGAGGAAAGTTTTTCTGCCTGGTGGCTTGAGAAGTTAAATCTTCTCAGCAGAACAAACTGTGGTATCTTCTAGACTTCCGTCTGTATCTGCTCTGCCACACAGCTCAAGTGGTTTCTTTTACATATGTATCCACTGGGATGTTGTAGGAGACTCCCTTGTGTCTCCAGTGTGGAGGCAGCCATTACTAGGCCTCTGTTAAATGATTTGGGGAACAAATCTGTGTTTCACTTGAGATTTACTGTGGTAGCTCTTTCCTATCTTCTGTGTCAGAACTGACACACCAGTGCCAAGCACTTGCAAAGGCATCTGGAGACCTTCTGTGGTATTCGTGTTCTGCCTGTCACAAAGGTAAAGTGACTCCAGTAAAAACAGAGCTGCTATTTTAGCTCAGTCTTTTTTCCTTTTCCCACTATCCCAGGAGAATTCAGGACTGGTTTTGCAGCTGCTTTCCCTTTTCAGCTGTAATTTCGACATTTAAAACAAGATGTGGAAAAGCTGTTTTTTAAGGTGGAAAAAACAAGAATGATTTCTGTTCGCTTGACAGCAGATGTGCTGTCCCTGAACAGCCTGTTGTGCTGCTGGCTGTGTGACAGATTGAGCTGGGAGCGGTGGTGGCAGCAGAGCAGATTCAAGTGCGAGCACAGCATGGATTTCCTTTAGAATCTTACTTCTTGTATCTTTGCTGAGTGTGGTCTGAACCAAAGAAACAAATCAGGCCCATTCTGGAAGTGTTCAAAGTTCCTGGATTTGCTGCTTTGTCTCATCATGCAGTCTGTTTTTTCTTGGTGAGGCTGACATGGAGCATGGCCACCTCTTGTGGCTCATTCCCAGCAGACCTGCACCAGCTCTGACAGTTATCTTTTGCTTGTAGGTAATGTTCACGTGTACAGCAATGGCAGGATGCGATACACCTATCATCAGAGGCAGGACAGACGAGAACACCAGGGTGATGTAAGTGATGGGAGCAGGCAGGGGGCTGGGAGCTGGAATGCTTTTTGCAGTGCACACATTGCCAGTTAGCTGGTGTGGCAGTTGCATGAAGCAGAACTGCCTGTGTTCTCCTCCCTGTGCAGCAAGCTGGAGCTGTGGGAAGTATACTGCCTGCAGAATTTGTGCTGCTTCATTTATGGGTATTTGTTCTCACAGGGCTTTCAGAACTGTCTTCCAGCAGGGAAAGCACAGATGTATCCTGAAACAGTGCCACCTTGGAATGAGGTCGAACTGGTTTTTGAGAGAGAATAAGCATTTCCTTTCATATTTAATTTCCTACTTTCAAGACAAATCCAGCTTTCAGATAACATGAGTGCACATGGCTCCTCCCGATGCGTACTCATTTTCCCTTTTAGTTCAGAATATAGGATCAGGCATTTCTGATCTGTGGTGCTTAATTAACCAAAGGAAAAAAATTGGTGGCATGAGTTATTTGGGTTTTTCTGCCACAGGATCTGTCTCCAGCACTGTGAGCCCTTTCAACGAATAAAATGAGATTGCAGGATTTACATAACCCTCTTCTTTTGATAACTAATAGTACTGTGTCTGGGCTGCTGGGCACTTCCTGCTTATCTTATGGAACCTCGCTGGCCCAAAAGGGCAGGGGAATGGAGGCTGTGATAGGGCTGGGAGGGAGGGCTTAGCTGCAGGGTCTTTGTGTGCAGGTATATGGACAGTGCTCCATCATGCATTTCTCCTCCCTCAGGGTGGCCTTGGGCTGTTTGTCCAGCTGATGCCTATCCTCATCCTGATCGTGGTGTCTGCTCTCAGCCAGATGATGGTCTCCAGCCCGCCCTACAGCCTGAGCCAGAGGCCGTTAGTACCCCGTACTCTGAAACCTATCCGTGTGTTGGGGTTGGGTGGGTTATGGGGGGCTGGGTGGCACAGTGGGTAGGGAACCAGGAGCTCTGTTTTCCCTGCCAGCTTTTGGCTTCCTCACATCCCATCGTTGTTCTTCTTTCTGCTGTCATATGTGCAGGGGAAGGCTCCTTATTGTCAGGCGGGTCTGGAGATGGAAAGTGCAGGGTTGTGCTGGGAGTGTGCTTAGCCAGGGAGCTTCTGCAGCCTGTGCCCGTGACTGGGTTAGAAAGGAACAGAATAAATGATTTTGAGGAGCTGTAGCCCAGCAGGGTGGTTCAGACACACTGAGATCCCATGTGCAGAGTGAAATGAGATGTAGAGTTAAATGGAGGTGTGAAAAACGAAAGTCGTATCTATTCATCATTAAAGTCTTGGCTGGGTTTGTGTCTATACAAGGAAGAGGGGAAGGGATAAGAGGCATTCTCGTAGAAGGAAAGACTCTCCTGGAGAAATCCCCTGGTTCTCAACTTTCATCTTGCTGTGAGATAGCCGTGGGCAGACATTCACTGGGCAGAAGTAAACTGGGCACTGGTTCTTTCTGTGGAAATGCCCTGGTCAGCTCATTGTGCTGACAAACAAGTTTCTATTCTTGGTCACTCAGTGGTGCCAGCCAGGAGCAAAACGGCATGACGATTTCTGGCTGCTTGCATCATCATTCTTGACAGAGGCTTTGAGTATTTTCAGTGGCTGCTCCCTGTGTATATGTGAAAGGCAGGTGGAGGTAGGGGTGGTGGCAGCCCCTGTGTAGCATCACTGATGGCACTGCTTATGGGTGGTGTTAAATGCTACAAAAACCACCTTAGCTTTGGGTGCAAAGTAAAGGCCGTGACGTTAGTGCTTAGAATAAAAAGATGGAGTGTTTTTGAACAAGGCAGGATTAAGGGTAATTCTGAGAGGCTAAAGAGCATTGAGGTGTGATTTCTGTCCTCGAGGACTACAAAGTGAAGCACACATGCATTATTTCTGTTTGGCTTATACGGGTGAAGAGGCAATGCGTGGGGCCAGGAGGCATTCAGCAGAGGGCAGCTTTGAAGAGAACGGGGATTTGCTTCCAGCTTTGTCAGCGGCCAGAGCTGACCGTCATCCCTGAGCCTCGCTGTGTTCGAGCTGTCATCTTTCCTGCATACGCGAGGCATTGAAGGGAGAGATGCTGAGAGCAGGCGGCTGCTGTGCCGGCAGGCGGTGCTGTGCTCTAGCTGCGGCTGCCCTGCCGTGTTTTGCTGCTCGGCGCAGACACTGTGCTGGCCACCAAGCTGCAGCATGCCGCCCCAAACCCAGTCAGCCTGAGGCGAGGCGCTTTCACGGCACAGGGAGGTTTTAGTGCCACTTGTTGACAGATAAAGCGCTGAGCTGAACTGCTTCTCTGCCAGCAAGCGCTGCCCGTACCTCAGAAAACAGCCAGAGAGCTTTCTGGTCTCGGTTGCCCACCGTTTGTCTTGGAATGCTGGATGCTGATGAAACGTGCAGGAGTGCTTGAATCACTCCTGCAAGCCCTGATAACAGGCTAAGGGTGAGCAGGATGGGTTAATGTTTATACCTGCCTTAGGAATCGGGCTCGCTTTTAGTGCGGCAGCAGCTGGTATTTATTATGGGAAACTTTGGGCATGTCTCCAGATGGAGCTGTTCCCAATGGATGCAGTGTTTGGGCACAGGTCCTGTGCTGCAGCTTGCACACACGCCCCAGTGAGTATCTCTAGGTTTGCTGGAGCTTTGGGGAAAATAAGAATGTGGCTTTGTCTGAAATGCAAATCCAGGGGGTAGGGCGAAGAGAGATTTCCTTCTAGAAAGTACTGATTGGTGCAGGCTCGAGTGCAGAGAGGAGCTAATTTTGTTCTTGCAGCAGCATGTGATGTTCTGGAGGGAGCTGACACTCAGGGTCAGCAGCTCTCTTCTGAGGAGAGCGCAGGGGTGGGGGGTGAGCAGGGGCTGTGGGAGCGCTGTGATAACCACTGCTCTGCCCACATCAGCCCCCAGCATGTGCAGTGCCCCCGGGGCACACTGCCAAAAGCAGCAAGGAAGCTGCAGAGATTTAATTAGCACTGAAAATCCTAATGAGCACTTCATTTTAAATGGGTTTTGGCCTTGGGCAGTCCGCCTAAAGGGTTCTGTCTGCGTTCAGAGCTGTGCCCACCTAGCTAGAGGCCTGCCAGGCTGTCCCTCCCTGTGCTGATGTTTCTTTTCCACCAGAAGTACTTCTCCTCTCCACGGCTGTGGGTGCAGGGGGTCGCTGTCCCTCACGGCACACTGTGCATGGTAAGGGGGTGCTGGCTGTGCCCTTCAAGTTTCCCACACCGTTGTGACTTTTCTCCTTGGACTAGGTCTGTGGGTCATGTACACAAGAGGATAACAGAGCACTTAAAAGTTATCTACTACGTATCTGAGAACTTTGCAGAAGAATACACGGGCACGAACTTGAAAAACGTGGAAAGGAGCGTGGAGGATGACTACATTGCAAACCTTCGAAATAACTGCTGGAAAGAGAAGCAGCAGAGTGAGTAGTGTGGGGTCAGGAGCAGAGAGTTTTGTTCGCTGCACGAGTTCTGCTGTGGAAAAGACTTTGGTGACTGAGCTGTGCTAAAGCTGTATTTTATCACCGCGTAGGCACGTTTCCTGTTTGTTTGTTTTTTCTGCCTATGACTTCATGTCTGTTCTGGCTCGGTTTGATTTTTTATGCCACCACAGAACTGGTCAGACAGGAGTTGTGCCCCAGAGGTTCCCCAGCTGCTGTCAGTAGGATATCTGCTGTGCAGTGGAGGGGAGGGCTGCAGCCACCTTGTCAGAAAGCCCCTACCAGCTCTCTGCATATCCCAGTTGTCCGAGGAGGGACCAAATTGCTAATGAATACTGCTGGTGTATCCACCCGGCTCCCTGACACAGGCATACCTGTGAGCCTGCTGCCTGTGCCGTCTGCTGTCCCACAGCATGGCAAGCAGCACTGACGGTCTGAGCTCTGAGCCTCTGCCTTTCCTCCCCTATGCCTGACAGGATGGGTCTCCTTCCACCTTGGGTGTGTAACTCTGGACTTTTCCCTTTGCAGAGGAAGGCTTGTTATACCGGGCACGGTACTTTGGAGACACGGAGCTGTACCAGCGAGCACAGAAGATGGGCACCCCCAGCTGTAGCAGACTGTCAGATGTACAAGCCTCTCTGCATGGATAGTCGCTGCCGGCCCGCTCAGCAGAGGTCTAAGTACGAGCTGTGGCAGCAGAGCACGACACACTAGTGCTTTTAACACTTAAATCTCTGAGGCACAAGCCTTCACGCGTCTCCTCCGGATGCTCAAACGTAACGGGGGGAGGCAGCCCCCTCTGTCAAGCCTACACTCCTTAATTGGGAAATTGATTTTGTTTAGCTTGCATGTCAGCACCCCCGGCTCACTCCAAGCTCGTGTTGCTGGTGTTGGTTCTCTAGGAACAAAGCAAAAGCCCCAGGCGTGCTGGCAGCCTGGCTGAGCTCTTGTCAACCGCGCCTTCGATGCAGTGCCGCGTGCACCTTGGCTGGTTGGAAGTTTTATTCCTTATCTCGCTAAGCCTTGACCAGCCATGGCAGCCTGCCACCACGTTTTGAAGAACCCTTTTTCTTGCTATCTTGTTTGTTTTATTGAAAAAGTTGTTATCCCCTGGCACTGTGGTGACTGTTAGAATGCAGGTGTTCCTTGCCTACCTCTTGCCTTGCCTTGACGCTCCAGGAGAACAGAGCGAAGGGTCAGAGCTCACAGCAGGGGCTAGGAGCAGCTCGGCGTGTTGAACTGGAAAATAAAGTAAAAGCAGCAGAGTGGGAGCCCGGAGGGCAGTGGGTAGGAGAGCTGGAGTCCAGGCAGCCCGCACAGCACAGAAGAGAGCGGGTGTGCTGGGTCATGGGAGAGCTGATAAAATAATGAAAGCTTTGGCACAGAGTTTAGAGTTCTTTTTCTGCTTAATTATCAGCTGGAGGCCCATACAGGCCTTGTCTAACCACATCATTTCTTGAAAGTTGGATTTCTGTAGGAAATAAGTGAAAGATTGCACCAAGTTTTAGTTGCAGGGGCACCACTGAGGCTTGGTGCTGGACACCTAACTGTTGGAGTTTCTGATGCCAGTAAGGAGGTTTAGCAGTGGAGTTTTTCTCTATTTTCCTTGGCTAATGGAGCACATCTTAAGGCAAATCCTCTGGGTTGTGCTTGGCCTTTTCTGGTGTACTCTGGCTTCGGTTTACTCGGTACACCCACTCTTGTTTTCCTTTGCACCTCTCATGTCAGGGTAGGCTGGTGTTAAGAACCAGGAAAGAGGCAGTGCCTGCATGCCCACGGTGCTGGAGCAGAGGGACTGTGTGGGGGGCAGCACAGGGCAGGAGCCAGCTGCTGCGACGCAGGGACGGGTGGGCCGCAGAGGGGGCTCTGTGCCGGGGACTGACACCGCTACCACTCTCGTTCCCAGACCCTTGACATACCCGAAGACTTTTGATGAAGTGCACTGAGCCGAGGTGACAGACTTTATATTTAAAGAATGAAATCTTATATTAAAATGGAATTGAGATTAGCAACGCACAACTGCCCTCTTTCTTCTCTCTGCCCGTCTCCGCCGGTGGATGTCCCAGGCGGCAGTTAGGACAGGACTAGAGGCCGTCGTCCTCATTCCCTTCCAGCAGCACCGCCGTGCAACGGCCTGGGTGGCAAAAGGAGCTGCACTGGAGAGAGAAATCGGACAATTCGCTGATAAAGAAAACTTTTAAAGAGAAGAAAAAAGAAAATATAATCTATTTAGAATTAATTTATAGCTGTATATACGTTGTACTTTTAAACTATGCAGGGGTTGGATGATTAAATTATTTTGCTTTGCGCCCGGTTTTGTGAACAGAGAAGCAGGAGGTCTCCGCAGGGTTGTGGCACAAGGCAGCAGTCACCTGGCGGTGGTTGCGCTTTGCTTTGCTGTGGATGGCAGCGATCCGTGGCTGGGGAGCTCAATGTCTGCCTGCCAGGCTGCCAGAGAAGCATTTCTGAATCCACGGGGGGAAAAAATCAATTGGTGAAACCGCCCAGAGCTGCAGTTTGGATTTGCAACATTGGCAAGAACAACTGAGTGCTGGAGCCACGTGTTGCCCAGAGAAGGGATCATCCTGGATGCTTTTAGCTCATCACTTCTTGCTTTAGTCATGTGTGTAACTTTTTTTTTTTTTTTTTTTTTGCAGCGTCCGCTTCAATTTTGCCTCGTAGTCATTGTGCAGCATTCATTCTGTGAGCAGGGCTGTCCGCAAGCTGCATCCCTTTGTTAATTTGCCAGTCCTGCACTTGGGATTCCTCACCCAGCAGCGCTCCAGTTTGCGGTAGGGCCCTGGCCTTAGGGCAGCTTATAGGGAATGGAGCGTTCATTGCTTCTGTTGAAAGAAGCTCTGCAGGGTGAGATCAGCATCTGATGGGCTCCTCAGACCCCATTGCTGGGGAGCCGCATGCCGGGGCTCACCTGCTCAGCCAGGCAGGGCCCGGCCTGGAGCAGCTCCAGGCTGCCATCCCCGCCATGCGTGTGCAAGAGGCAAAAGGCAAATGAGCGGAGTTGCATCACTGGGACAAACTGGATCTTTTTTTTGGTACCCTGCAGTTAATTTTTGCCTGAAGACATTTCCTTTGAGAGCCTCCCCGGGTGCTGGGGGGTTGCTCAGGTGGGGGTGCGGGGTGGCCAGGCTGGGACGGCAGTGAGTGGCAACACGGATTGAGGTCTTCGGCATTAGGCATCCACGTGCTCTGTCTTGGGCCAGTTATTTGTTTTGCAAAGTATCAGCCCTCCTGTTAACTGTAAGCCTTATTATCCCACAGCTACCGCGGCTCAAACTTGATTTTAAGAGATTATTTTTTAATGATATCTCCATCTTCTGAAGGAATTTGGTGGAGTGTGTGACATGGGAATAGCTCTTAGTAGCGGCACAGGGCAGCTGGCAGAAGTCTCTGGGGTGGGGGCTGTAGGCTGTAGAGAGCAATGACATTTGCAAGAGTTGCTGGCCATTTTGCAACACGGCATTCCTTGCCCAGGGCCTGCCCACCTTGTGATTTCTCAAGTAGTTATTCATGGATAATACGAGCCAGAAAGCATAGAGCCTAACGGGTCTTCATGGAAGCTGTATTTCTTGATTTAGAGTTAATTATAAAATTGTACATCTATAAATAAACGTTTGTAATGTGAAAGGCTTCAGTTGCGGTGATGTTGTGCAGATCCTGGTGTGAAATGGCAGCAATTTTCACCCCAGCACTGCATTTCTTAACTGCTCTTTTCCCTGAGTGTGAGGGGACTGCTTTGTTCTCCTCCCACCACTACCTTCTACCTCTGCGCTCCTGCAGAAGGAGTGAGAGTTTTTGAGCTCCCAAGGTCTTGGGGAAAGTAAATGTAAGGCCCAGCACTGCTCCCAAGCCTTGCCCTGGGGCACACGGGAGGAACCATCCAGCATCGTCCCGGGTCCACCTGGAGGTACAAACTGATGCTATTTAAGATGGGATTATTGCTAATGGCTGCTAACAGATTGCTAAAAGCTGATTTTGTGTAACCAATTAATAATATCCCAATTTGTAGTCTCACCCTGACTTGCTATAAACCAGAGGTGGCTGCCAGATGCTGTGCGCCCCCAGTCTGGGCTCCTGCAGAGGATGGGGGTTGCCCTGGTGCACCTGGTCCTACAGCACCTGGGGCGACAGTGATCCAGACAGAGCTCCCTAGGAGTGGGATTTCTTTCATTTCCTTTATTGGTGAGGGCAACTGGGGCTGCCCATGAGCTCCTTCCCCGCTCAGCAGTTCTTTAGCCCTAAAAATAAATAATCTCAATTACTCTGCCTGCTTCAGATGTCCCTGAAATGATAGCCAGGAGCGATGCTGCAGAGGAGAGCCCCAGGTATCGCAGCCCTCTGTGTCCTCAGGAGCACCGAGCAGCCTGCGTCCACGTGGGGAGGCTAAATGAAGGCTTCTGGCACCTTCTGGGAGCTGCCAAAAGCCTCATGCTGCCCCCCAGGGACCTTGATGTGCATCCAGCCCGGGTTCTGTCACAGAAAGGGCAGCCCACTATAAATAGGAGCTGCTCCTGGGACTGGATTTGAGCTGTGTGTCTGGGGCTGCCACAGGGCATTTGTGGGATGCGGGGATCTGGTGCAGAGGGGTTTCGTTTCACTGTTGTTTGCGGGGCTTTTTTGGAGCTCTCTGCAAAGCCCTCAATTGCTCTCTGTAATTAGAAAGTGACACCAAGCTGGGGCCGCAGTGGGGCACAGTGGGCAGCGGTCCCCCCGCACACCTGTAAGGCTTCATGAAGTGTGTATATATAGCTGTGAGACACAATGTGTCTCAGCATTTAAAGCTGCTGGGATGAGGGTATGGTGCTGTCAGCACACCGTCTCTCTCTCAGTGTTGCTCCCTGGGGCAACGTGCCTTTCCTTCCCTGTGCCACCAGCGCCACAAGCTGCCAGCTGTGCAGCTCACCGTGGCTTCACCAAAGCATTGTGATCCAGTTTTCAGGTTTCGTGGCCTGGTGTGACACTAGGACACATACAGGGGTGATTTTTGGCCAGGCCCCAGAACAGAGATGCCCTGTGCATGGACCAAAGAATGATCCAGAACATCAGTGCTGGGGAAATGCCCTGGTCCTCAACAAATTAGGAACAGGACACATAAGGAATAGGAAGCACAGGCTGGCTTTCTGCAGGTGAGCTGCTGCCTGGCCAGCCCAGCTCAGCTCCAGCTGCACCAAGGTGCACGTAACGTGGCTCCCGGTGCTCTGGTGGGGGCTGGCTTTGGCAGAAGTAACTTTTCTTGGTGAGTTTTCATCACTCAGTGTCTGAGGTAAAAAGAAACACACCACAGAAGTCTGAGCCAGAACAAACTTGCGTTCTAATAGAAATAAGTCAGCTGGTTTTTTTTATCTTCAGCCTGGTTTTATCCTCCGCACCTCATGCCTGACCCAGCGTGCCTGTCTTAATTACACTTTAGTGAAAGCCTTTTTTCTGAGTTGTTATAACTGCTAATTGCAGGCTGCTGTAATTGCACTCATTGGTGTAAATGCAGGCAGGCTCAGGAGCACACGTGGAAGAGGGCACTGCCTGGGTGGGTTGACACACACACTCTGTTTCACCCCTGCACCAGACTTTCCTGCTGCTTGCCAAAGCCCCAGACGCATCCCGGTGGCTGTGGGCAATGGTGCACCTGGGCAGCTCAGGGGCTGAGTCAGCCCTGCCTGAGTCACAGCCCCGTGCCCCACACGGAGGTGTGCTGCAATTCCTGCCACCTCCCATCATCCCGAGGCCCCTCCAGGATGCAGGGCAGCAGGGGGATTTCTGCCCGCAGAGGAGGTGCTTGCATCATCCCTTCCCAAAGCCCAGCGAGGACAGGGACACGGCAGGGTATCACTGAGTCAGGTTTTATTAGAAAAGTAAAAAAATGACACAATTGCATAGGAAGTCTTGCACTTGAACATCAAGTGTATGAGTGTAACTGTAATCAATGAAGCACACGGGCCATATCAGGGAGGGATCCTGCCCTCCATCCCCGTGCCACTCACACACCAGGCTTCTCCCCGTGACAAAGACACACATGATTTCAGACCCCCGCTGCCGCACCAGGACCCACAACGCAGCTGCCAGATGTCAGCAGTGGGGTTTCTTGTGATCCGGGCTCAGCTCAGCCGTCGCTCACTCCCACGACACACACACGCACACCCTCCCCCACAAACCCCATTGATTACAATTATCGTTACAAAAGAAAAAAAAAAAAAAAAAAAAAAAAAATTGATCAGCAGGAGACCGCCTGCCCCCGCAGCAACCCTGCCGCCGAGCCCAGGGGCACGGCCACAGCCACCATCCTCCTTGTGGGTCCACAGAGCACGGGGCCATCAGCGGGGCCACGGCAACACCCTGGGCCGCCCCAGCACGGCAGGCACCGAGGGCCGCCTCGCTTTCCAGGCTGGCAGCGCTCTCCCATCAGCACTCCTCGACCAGCAGCTGCTCGGAGCTGTACAGCTTCTTCTTCATCACCGTGAAGCCCGTGCTGAGCTTAAGGGACTGGCCGAAGGCTGGGCTGAGGGCGGGTGCCGAGGCGAGGAGCCCCTGGATCTTGGGCCAGAGGCGGGAGTCCAGCCGCAGCACCAGGATGAGCTGGAAGGTCGGCACTACGGCAGGGTCCGCGGCGATGCGCCCCACGTCGTGGCAGGCCTTGCCGTGCTCCACGCAGAGGTCGAGGAGGGCTCCCCGCAGCCCGCACGGCTCGCTGCAGGCCAGGCGCAGCAGCTCGCTCCGCAGCTGGGAGGCGAGCTGGGCCGGCATCAAGAGGCGTGAGCGGCGGCGGGAGCCCAGCGCGGCGCTGCCCAGCGCGGCCTGCACCAGCTCCAGCAGCCGGGCGCTCAGCAGCTCGTCCTCGGGATCGTGCAGCAGCTCCAGGTCCGGCAGGGAGGTCTGGTCGGGGTCTGCAGGACGAGACGGGACGGGTCAGCGCGGGGGCTCGGGGTGCCGTTCGACCGCCCCGTAATGCCGCACCCACAGCCCTCCGCTCGCCTGACCCCCCGCAGGCTCACCCTCCCTCCCCTTGCAGCTCTCCGGCCCCAGCTCACCTCCCTCCGAGCCGGAGGCGCTGCCCAACGACTCGCAGTCGGAGCTCTCCAGGCTGCCCCGCTCGCCGCCCGCCAGCCGCTCCCACAACCCAGGCATGACGCCGACCCCGCGCCCCGCCGCCCTCGCGCTCTGACCGGCCGCACCGCGGCCCGGCCGCTTATATAGAGGCGGCGCGAACCGCCGCGCCCCCTCTCCGCGTCGCCAGCCAATGGCAGAGCGGGGCACGTCCGCGGCGTCTCTCCTGCCCGGTGACAGCGGGCAGGCACGCCCCCTCCTCCCCCTCCGCCGCTCGGCCCCGCTCGGCTCATCTCGGCTCCGCTCGGGGCTGTGGGGATGCGCTGCGTAGCGCCCTCCGATCGCGCACGTACGTGCTGGGGCGGTGCCAGAGCTCGTTCCCAATGGAGCTGCTCTCGAAGCCCTTGTACGAACGGTGCGCAGCTGCGTGGCTCAGAATAGGTGGAGAGCAGAGAGGGGCTGCTGGCTTTGGGTCGGAGTGGGGGGAAATGGCAAACGGGCAGAAATGAAGGTAGAGGATCACGGGGATCGCAGCTTGCTAAGATAAGCTGGGATTCGAACACGGCCATCCAAGGCTTTGCTGAACGTAAACGTGTTTCTTCCCTCTGCATAACGTGCCCCATGTTTGACCGCAGAGCCCCCACGAGAGGTTTCGGACTCAGCGAGGCGCTTCGCTCCGTGCGGCGCGGCCGGGTCTGAGCTGCCAGCAGCACGCGGCAGAGCGGCCGAGGGGCGCGCGGCTGTCCGTGCACGGACTTTCCGGCCGGGCCGCTCTCGGCCGGCTGCGCCCTCGGGGACGCCCCCGCCTCCTTCCCTCCCTCTGAGGATTAGCTCCGCTTGATCACGCCGCTTTGCAGCTTTCGAGGGGCCGGGGCCGGGGGAAGGCGCTGCGCGGGGGCTCGCCGAGTGCCTTGGCGCACGTCCACGGCGCGCAGAAGGGTCACGTCTGTGCCCCGCGCGGGGCTACGACCCCGGGGGACGCGGCAGCTGCGCCCGACCTCACGCTCGCTCCCCGAAAGCCGTTCGGCCTGCATTATCCCCACGTACGCGGCTCGCACAGCGAGATCCCGCCGGGGGGAGGGGGCCAGAAGGACCGGCGGGCCGCTTGGGGGCGAGGAGATTAAACGCGGCAGCGGGGAGCGCGGCTCGTCCACGCTGCCGTGCCGCCGGGCGAGGCGTGCAGCCCGGGCCGGCCGGGACGCGCACGGTGAGTGCCCGCGCCCCACGGCTGGCGGCCTCGCATCAGTGTTTGGCGCTTGGGCCCAGCGCGTGCCTTGGCTCAGCATCGAGGGCCCGGGGCCGCGCCGGTACATGGCGTTCTGCTGCGAGCACCCACAGGAAAACCAGCGAGCAGCCTGAACGGGACTCTTTGTTCAGGCTTTTTTTTTTTTTTTTTTTCCCCGCCTCAACTTTTGCTCGCAGCTCTGGGGCTCCCTTCCCCCTCCGCTCCCAGCTGCGGCCAAGCCTCAGACTAATTGCGGAGCCGTTTGGCGGTGCTCAGGGGGGCTGCCGAGACCCCCCAGCGGTGGGCGTGCAGCTCAAAGTGCGAGCTTTGATCACCCCGAAGTCGCCCCGCAGATGTTCAAAGC